CCACATAGCAGAGAGACAAGACAGGTATTCCTGAAGGGCTGCCAGGTGTACCCAGTCACCCCAACAATGAGTAGGGGAGGGTGGGCCGGCAGGTTGAGGATTCTCAGCACAGAGGGAAACCGGGAGGCTTCAGGAGAGCTGGAGGAGGCCATGGGAGAGGGGGCGGTGACAGCACATGCTCGGGTATATGAGGAGGGCAACAGACTCAGGCCCAGGTCACCCTGGGTATCTTGAGCAACTCACTTCACCTGTCTGAACCTCAGTTTCCTCGTCTGTAAAATGGGCTAATAATCCCCCGTGGTGCCATCGCAACCATTAAATGAGATAATAAATTACTGACTAGATGCCTTATCTGTAGTGTTTATTAAATATCTAGCATATAAGGAACATGTAAAAAGTACCTTGTCATTATTACTGCAGACAAATTTGTCCCAGTGCCCCTCACCCTTTCCACTCGCCTTTTGCTCTTCTAGCCCCCCATCAACCAGCACTGCTCCCTCACCCAACACCTCCCTGCCCAAGGGGCCTGTAGAGTCTTCCAGCTGGGAACAATCTTGGGGAGGATGGGGTGGGAGGAAGTAGGGGCTTCCTGTGAACCATTAAAAATTTGGGTGGGCATGTACAGGGGTGCATTTTCTTTGGGGAAGCAGCCCTCCATTTTCAAAGTGGTGACCAAAACAAACAAACAAAGGCTAGGATCCGCAGAAGCAGCGTTAGGGTCTTAATGCAAAACTCTTCCTGTATTTGAAAATAGGTCTGAGGCAATGTTTGACCTAGAGGAATGGTTCTCAAAGGGTGGAATTTCAGGAATCAATGTTAGTTGGAGAGAAAGGTTTCAGGGTAGGTCTCATAAATCACACCCTGCTGTGTTGCTCTAAAAATGACCCAGTCTAAGGAATAGCTTCGGGTGACCTCTGAATTGGTCAGAGTGGGGGCCTCTCTTGTTACTGAGTTATTTTTCCTGGCAATAGAAATTTTAGGTGTTGCCAAACAGCAATGAAATTCTGATATTACCGTGTTCTCTTGTTAAGGAAAAGACTTTGAAATGGCAATAAAAACCTATCTGAAATCTTCAAATACAAATAATTCAGAATTAGTGCTTGAGCTCTGCTCTTAACCTCCAAGGACACGTTTCTTGATAGCTTAACTGGCTCTCAGAGCAAAGGATATGTAGCTTTGCTATTAAGAGTAACTGAAACCCTGCCAAGGCAACACTTACCTAACTCAATTATCCTCACTTAGCCACATCTCTCTCCTCACTGCCCGGCTAATTCTTTTAACTTCAAATACCTCACATTGAATTCATAAGTTCCATTAATATTTTTCACTACTTCGTTATTGTGGTAAAAAGTACATAACATAAAATCTAGCATTTTAACCATTTTTGAGTGGACAGTAACAGTGGTGTTATCTATATGCACATTGTTGTGCAACAGATCTTTAGAATTTTTCCATTTTGCAAAACTGAAACTTTATACTCGTTGAACAACTCCCCCTTTCCCCTTCCCCGTAGACCATGGCAACCACACCATTCATTCTATTTTCCGCTTTTAAGAGTCTGACTACTTTAGAAGCCTCATGTAAGTGGAATCAGGCAGCTTTTGTGTTTTCGTGACTGGCTCATTTCACTTGTTTCACTTAGCATAATGTCCTCAAGGCTCATCCATGTTGTAGCATGTGACAGTATTTCCTTTTTTTTGAAGACTAATACTTCATTGCACGTATATACCATTTTCACTACTTTTTTTAAAAAAAAATATTTGTTGCTTTGTGATTTTATTTTGTTCTGTGATGATTTTCCTGGTATAAAACATCAAGGGTGTTATATCATGTACATTGAAACCTTTCTAACCGAGTAAGTGCAGGATTTTTTTTTTCCGAGACAGAGTCTCATT